CAAAGGTAAAGCAGACAGTTCCTAGCTTGGGTGGTCACCATACAGAGGTGCAAAGGTAAAGGAGACAGTTCCTAGCTTGGGTGGTCACCATACAGAGGCAACAGTAACATGGCTGAGAACAGAAGAACAAGTCACTTGCCACAGAGTGCTAGAGGAGACACCTTTGTTTGAGTAGTCACCAAAAAAAAAATGACTGGGAATGCCTAAGGGCTCAGGGGATCTGTGTGCTGCTCTCCTGTTTGCGTGATCCTTTCCTGAAGAACAGATGCTTCTGTTTTATTTTTATAAAGGACTCCTCAGAGGCCCATCCACCTTCACTGCAGTGCAAAAAACAAACCAGAAAGCAAAAAAACAAACAACAGTGGTTTTCAGTATGAAATGAAGCCCAAGTGGGATGGTTTGGATCATCAGAACATGAGGAGCCGAGGCATGGAAAGTATGAAGTGAGGGGAAGATGGAGACAAGGTCAGCCCCATCCCTAACTGTCCCCTCCCCTAGCCAGGCCACCACATGCTGGCGATGTCACGGCAGCTTGTGGGAGATCATCCCGAGCCTCTCATACTCTCCTGCTTGCTGTAATTGCCGTGTCACTACCTGAACTGTCACCCTCAGCCCAGGCAGTCTTTGTAGTGTGGGCTGAGAAGGCAGGGGGTTAGGGTAGCCCTGGCCACTACCCAGAAAATGAGAAGCAACAGGGACATACATGCACTGGTGCATTTTCAACTAGGATTGTCACTTGTGCACTGCAACACTGTCCTGTGACCCTTTCTTTTGTCACTGTTGGGTTTGAACCTACTAAGAAACTGGGTGATAAATGGGACCAGGAACAACTGAGACAGAACAACTGGATGTTGGCACTGCATCTAACCGGAACACTAATTATGCAAACTTCTCCAAAGGTTCTCATCATAAACAGAAAGTTGGTTTAAGTGATGAAAGACATCATCAGTCTACTCATGTACAAAATCATGCCCAAAGAGGGCTGAGGAGTGAAGTGCATAGCTGGAGAGGAAATGAGCTGGCCCACCGAGCTTTTGCTGTGATTTGGCAGGTCTCTGCCACTATTCTGTCAGTCTCTGTTTTGTTTTGGTTTTGACATTTTTAAGACAGGGTCTTGCTGTATAGTTCAGGCTGGCCTTGAACTCACTCTGTAGCCCAGTGATGGCAAACTTTTCAAAGCATGCAGTGCTGAAAACTTTTCAGCCCCCTGCAGCATGCATGCCACAGGCTCACCACCACTGTGTGCAGCCCAAGCTAGCCTCAAACTGTCAGCAAGCCGCCTGCCCAGCTCCCCAAGTTCTGGGACTGCAGCGTGGGCCACCATGTCTGGCTATTTTATAAGTGTTGCTGAACCTGCCAGGCAGTGAAAGAGAACTGAGCAGAGGAGGAGGGGACAACACGCTAGGGAGGGACTGTGGCAGGGACACACAAGGTGGGTAGGGTTTCATCAGCCTGCTGCTTGTAAGTGGGACCCCAGGAGAATGCGCAGTGCTGGGTGCAGTGTGTGCGTGCAGACGATGCCCACATAAGGCTTAATTATAAAAACTCATTGTCGCAGTAATGTAGGCCTCGGGTTGTGTAAAGCTTATGGCTCCTGGGAAAAATTTATATTAGACAGTGATCTCTAAAAGACTGGGTTGCCAGGGAGATGGCTCAGTGGAGTAAGC